AAAAAAAAACAGCCAGGCCTTGTGGTGAGCACCTTTGGTCCCAGCTACTTGGGAGGCGGAGGCAGAAGACTCGCTTGAGCCCAGGAGTTGGAGGTTGCTGTGAGCTGTGATGTCACGGCACCCTACCCAAGGCGACAGCTTGAGGCTCTGTCTCAAAAAAATAATAATAATAACAATAGCTCTCAACTATTATTTTCTTCTTCTAGTAAACTTCTATATACATTTCCAGGATGGAAAGTTGGAGTAACAGCTCTTCAGCAGGTTAGTGTTTTTCTGTTAAGTCTAAGAAGACACAAATTTAGTAGTAAGATTCAGAAATCAGTCATATTTTTAGACTAAAGAGAATACATAGTTTTTTGTTTTTTGGGTTTTTTTTTTATTTTTATAGCTTACCCTGAGGATTAGTGTTTTGGAAATGTAACTGAATATAGGCAATAATGCCTTTGGTTATAAATGTTTGTGGAGCTCTTAGTGCTTGGAATTAGGCTCTGAAACTGTGCTTGCTATGGATCCTTGTTTTGCAAGTGTATGTAATCCAGTGCTTTGTGTAGTATGGAAATGAATAGTTCAGCAATTCTAAGAGAGATTGTAGGTCATACAGAGAAATTTATCAGGGTGTTCACATTTGTGGTTTGAAGTAATTGTGGCCATAATCCTGATGTTTGGTTTAACAGTGGTATGTTAAAAAAAATCACTTTTTATTTTTGACTCTGAGAGATATGTGTAAATGAATGAGTGTATTTCGAGAGAGGATCGGGTATGTCTACTAGCTACATACATAGCTGTTATACCCTTGTCTTTCTAAATATTCACATCTACACTTGCCCAGTTGATGTGCTATCCTCAGCCTCTCTCGCTGCCATCAATCTTGCTCCTCCTTTGCCTACTGAAAAGACTCTGAAGATGTCAGATGATTAAGTCCCTAGAGGGCAAGGGATTATATTTGCTTTAGTATTTCCAGCTTCTACACAGGGCTTCATGCAGAGGAGGCACTTTAGGGCAAATTAATAAAATGTTTAGCCTGCTTCCATTCTGTGATGCTATTGGACACAGATCTGTGCTCCAATAGAGAAGCAGCCTGTGTGTAGTGTAGGACCATTGAATTGTATTATAGATCATTGTAAGACAGTTATAATCATAGAATATTCTAGTTGAAAGAGGCTAATTTGGAACTTCTTTGCCTTTTAGTCTGTTTTATAAATTTTTCCTTTTTTTCCTTGGATAAATAATCTTCCCTTCCTGTATAGTTGGCTACAAATGGCCATGCCTGTGGCAAGCTTTCAGATGTTTTGGAGGAGTCATCTTTTTCTGTTTCCATCCGGTCACTGACCTGTAGTGATTTCACACATTAACTTCCTTTTCTGTTTTGGCTGTTGTTTTATCAAGTCAGCTATGTTTAGCGGGGTAGTAAGAGAATGTGGACTGGCAGAATTGAAGCTAGGAAGTAATTTGGAAAAATCATTTCTGAATACTTCATGCTGAGTAACAACTGTAGTATGCCAGAATGGTAATACTTGTGAGGTTTTTTTGCCACCTTTAGGAAGACATTTCATTATTCTTTTTAATAACCCATAAGTAATGGTGCATATTGTCAAAAATATTAAAGCTATTTCACTTAAGATTGAGTTATTTAATTTTCAGGCACCAGCTGTGGATGTTGTTGCTGTTGGTCTTATGTCGGGTCAGGTTATTATTCACAACATTAAATTTGATGAAACACTAATGAAGTTTCGTCAAGACTGGGGACCCATTACTTCAATCTCATTTCGCACAGGTAATTTTTAACTTACTTATTGATAAGAGCTAAGGATATTTAAATGTATTACTTTAATGGTCATGGAAATTTTCTTTATCATCTTATAGTTAATAGAAATGAATGAAAAGCTGGAACAAAAGCAAAAAAAAGATGACTGGATTATTGGAATATAGTCTTTTTAAACTATGGATTAGAAGGATAGAAAAAAGAATTATTTAGTTTTGGGGAGTCTGTTTTTCTTAATGTATTTTATTTTAATAACAGATGGTCATCCAGTAATGGCAGCTGGAAGCCCATGTGGCCATATTGGACTCTGGGATTTGGAAGACAAAAAATTAATCAATCAAATGAGAGATGCACACTCAACAGCAATTGCCGGGCTGACATTTCTCCATAGAGAGCCTCTTCTGATCACAAATGGTGCTGACAATGCTCTCAGGGTATTATGACTATTGTTGTTATCATCTTCCTGGCCCATCTGACCTACCCTCTGGGTTATTACAAATCTACTTTAATGTATGATCCTTGAACCTACAAAGTGAAAAGGAATATGGAGTGTGGTATGGCTGTAAATGCATAAAAAGTGTAGCAGGTGACATAGTTGCAGTGAGGTGTGAGTTACACTTTATTTCTTCTCCTATCCCCACTCTAACCCTTGTAGCTCCAGGGTCAGTGGCCTGGCAAGCACTAGTTCACTGATACTCGATTTAGTCACAGATCAGATAGTACACTGTAGAAGAACCTGACCTTTTTATTTCTTGGCAGATATGGATATTTGATGGTCCTACAGGTGAAGGCCGTCTTTTGAGATTCAGAATGGGACATAGTGCTCCTCTTACCAGTGTCAGATATTATGGACAAAATGGACAACAGATTCTAAGTGCAAGTGAGTTTTTGCTTTGTACTATTGTTTATATCAGCAAGTATTGAGAGTTGACTGCTCAGTATAAGGTTTGGCCTTTACATATTGTTTTAGATTCAAAAATCTATTAAGTGGTGTAGAAGACTGGGTAAAACTACTGTCTAGTTTAGGAAGCGTTATAGATGATAAGTCTATATACTTGGAGTGTCCTGTATGTATTTACTAATCCTTAGAGGCAGAATAGTCATATTATGAAAATGTGGCCATTGCCTTATTCTAATAATCTGCTGACAATTTATTAGTACCTTCTTTTCACTTTATCCTTTGTTCACACCAAATGCCATCCTATACACACTTAAATATTGTAATGAAATGGTTGTAACCTGGCTCTGCCTTTAAAGTGTCCCAAACCTCAAGCTTTTCGTAGACTCTAATTTAAGATCTGTGATTCACATGGTCTCTTGTTTTGGTAAAGTTATTGGTTAGGAATTTTCTGTTTGTCAACAGGTCAGGATGGAACTCTTCAGTCATTCTCCACAATACATGAAAAATTTAACAAGAGCTTGGGACATGGTAGGTCATTTGCAAGATGGAAAATAAGCTGTGTGTCACAAAAGAAATATTTCAGGATTCTGTGAGATAAGTAGAGGAGGTTTCATCAATAAATTCTCCCTTTTCTTGGATGAAATTAAAGAACATGTATGGAAGAAGCATTAAGATTTCCAGGATCAGAGTTGCTATAGAAGTGGGGAAAGTGCTGCTAGAAGGTTATTGAAAAAATGAGACATGTCGGGTGGTTGAAGACATACTGCTGTCACCCAAAAGGCATTGATGACCTCACTTGGGACATCTGTAGAATGTATGTAAAATTTTTAAATGAAAGACAGCTTAGAGAAAGTAGCAAAGTAAGCACTGTTCAGTGTTTTTGCTTTAAAGGCCTCATTTTATTCTCTCTTTTCACAGTTTCTAGCCTTTGAAGTTTTTTTTTCAATTTTTCTTTCATTGGTTCTACATATAATCATTCAGTGGAATTTTGTATTTTTTTGCTAATCGTTTGAATGTGGTCTTTGTTCATTATATTTCTAATTGATTATTGTAGCAGTGTGGGGAACTCACTGGGTTTTTTTATATTGGTTCTTTGATCACAGTGAAACTGTTACCACTTTTAATAATTATTTGGTTATTTCATTTGATTTTTTTGATTTTGTGACCACCCTACCACCTGCAAATAATGGTATTTCTGTCTCTTTTTTTGATTATTCATATGTTATAATTAATTTTCTTAAATAATTACATAAGCTAAACTTTAGAAATGATTACATAACAATAATAATAACTATGTTTTCTCCCTGACTTAAATGAGAATATCTTGAACATTATAGTTATATGACAATGAATAGCTTTTCTTTTCTAGACATTTTCCATTAAAAGGATTCATAGCTAAATTCCCCTCTCCTAACTAATCCCAGGATTAATAAATAAAAAGAGAGTCAAACGTAAAGGACTTCAGAATACCACGTCTGTGCGACTTCCACCCATCACCAAGTTTGCAGCAGGTAACTTCACACCACATTTTGAGAAGATCTCCTTTGTCATTTGTTTCTTACTGTAAACTTCTTTATTTCCTCCACGTTAAATGTTTTTACAAATATTAATTTGCGTTTAGAAGGTAAACCCAAGTACATGCTGATTTTGTGTGAAAACTAAAAATGACTTGTTTTTATGTGGACTTGATATCTATGTAATCTTAAGCTTTGCTCTTCTCTCTAATAGCTATAAGAAATATTAATAAGTTATTAATATAAATTAATAAATAATAAGACCCTTTGTAAGGTGGCTCCAATTGCTTTGCCCTCCTCTCACCCCTTTAAAGAAAATACTTGCCTTTCTGTCTTCAGTTGTGTTGAGTTTCTCTTGGCATGTTGTCTCCCACCTGGTGATTTCCACTTGTCTTGCCACTCTTTTTCTGGGAGCCATTTGTTATTACTCTGTTCCCAAATCTCCTCTGAGTCGTTTTATAAAACAAACTTTATTGTAATTTCACCTGATCAATGTTAGATATGTTAATTAGCTTGATTTGGCCATTCCACAATGTATACATATGTCAAAACATGTTTTATACCATAAATACGTACAGTTTTTGTCAATTTAAAAAATCATCTCTTAGGCAGCCCCTGTGGCTCAGTGAGTAGGGTTAATATATACTAAGAGAGGCAGGTTCAAACCCAGCCAGAAAAAAAAAATAGCAAGGCATTGTGGCAGACACCTGTACTCCCAGCTACAGGAATCGCCTCAGCCCAAGAGCTGGAGGTTGCTGTGAGGTATGATGCAACGGCACTCTACCGAGGGTGACAAAATAAGACTCTGTCTCTAAGAAAAAAAATGTTAGTAATAATCTCTTGTTAGATTGGAAGCTCATTGCTATCAGGATTACCCATTTGTGTTACCTTTGTATTCATAATGTCTGATAATAACAGGGAACATTACATGCCAAAAATAATAGATGAATAACGGGGAGAATAAATAGCAATTTGATTGATTTACAAGCTTAATTGTTCCAGAGGAAGCTCGTGAGAGTGACTGGGATGGTATTGTGGCTTGCCATCAAGGTAAGCTGTCTTGCTCAACCTGGAATTACCAGAGATCTACAATAGGTGCTTACTTTCTCAAGCCAAAAGAGTTGAAGAAAGATGACGTAACTGCAACAGTAAGTGAGCTTCCTTATGAGGATGTTTTCCACTCAAAACTGTCTCTGGTAATCTCATTATACTCAACATTTGCCCATCATGATTGAAAGAACATAATTGAACATTTTGAAGTTACTCCCTAATAGTGTTAAGTTTTCTGGCTTGCAGAGATTTATTTATTTAATTAAGTAATATCTTGTGGTTTTGATTGGCATTTAGACAGTGACTTATGATGTTGGACATCTCTTCATAGCTCTTTATGTATCTTCTTTGGAGAAATGTCTATTCACATATTGCCCATTTTTTAAATGAGGTAATTCATCTTGTTATTATTAGGTTATAATAACACTTTATATATCCTAAACACAAGTCCCTTATTGAACACAGGATTTGCAGATATTTTATACCTTTTTGTGAGACTATCATTTCGTTTTCCTCGTGATACTATTTTCAACATAAGAGTATTTCATTTTGATGGTGCCCAGTCTATGTGTTTTCTTCTCATACCACTTGTGCTCTTTGAAAAATCATTACTTAGCCCAAGGCCACAAGATTTAGTGCTGTTATTCCAAGAGTTTTATAGTTTTAGCTCTTAACATTTAGGTCTACTATCCTTTCTGAATTAATTTTTGTGTGCAGTATGACCTTGAACATGGACATCCATTTTTCTGAGCCCCTTAGTTCTCTTTCTCCATTGAAGAGTCTTGGCACCTTTATGGAAATCATTTGACTGGGTAAGGGTCTATTTCTAGACTCTCAGTTCTTTTCCATTGTCCTATGTGTCTGTTTTTATACCAGCACCACACTGTCTTGTTTCTAGAAGCTTAGTATCAACTTTTGAAATCAGAAATATAACTCCTCTATGCCTTTGCTCTTTTTCCAAGATTGCTTTGACTATTCTGGTCCCTTGAATTTCCGTATGAATTTTAGGATCAGCTCATCTGTTTCTATTTTTTATTTTATTTTATTTTTTGCAGTTTTTGGCCAGGGCCAGGTTTGAACCCACCACCTCCAGTATATGGGGCCAGCGCCCTACTCCTTGAGCCACAGGCACTGCCCAGGACTGTTTTGATTTTAAATCAATTTGAGATTTGCCAACTCTAATCCATGGATGTAGAATGTCTTTGGATTTATTTACATCTTCTTTAATTTCTATCAACGGTGTCTTGTAATTTTCAGTGTATGTCTCATACTTTTGTGATTAAATTTTATTTTCAAAGTGAAATTCTTTTCTTAATTTTATTTTGAATTATTCATTGTTAGTATAGTATGTTAAATGATAATTGATTTTTGTGTATTGATCTTATAGCCTTGCTGAACTTACTAGTTTTAATAGTTTTTTAGTGGATGCCTCTGCTTTTGAAAGTGCTTATTTTTTTTTTGTTTTTTTTTGGGGGGGGGGTTTGCCAGGGTTGGGTTTGAACCCGCCACTTCCGGTATATGGGGCCAGCATCCTGCTCCTTGAGCCACAGGCACTGCTCTAAGTTTTTTTTTGTTTTTTGGCTGGGGCTGGGTTTGAACCTACCACCTCTGGTATATGGGGCCAGTGCCCTACTCCTTGAGCCACAGGCACTGTGCCAATGTACTTATAACATTTTTAAGCACAAATTTTTTTTCAAGTATGTATGCTCCATTCTCCTTAGTGTGAAAATCTAGTCTTAAGCTTATATAATTTTCTAGACAGTAAAGATACTATCTTAAGCTTCTTAAGGGGAGTTCACTTGTACAGTTTTGAGTAATGGCTATAGTCCCAGTGGAAAGAATAATTAGAACTAACATTTTTTCTGTGCTTGCTTTGTTCCGTATCTCTGGCTGGCACATATTATTTCATATTATTTTCACATCCTATGGATGATAAAACTGAGTCTTAAAGTAATGAGTACCATGCCTAAGGTTAGTAAAACTAATAAGTATCAGTACTGGAATTTGAATTGAAACTTCTAGCCTATAGGGATCACTCAGAACATTTAGTAATGTGTGTATACAGTGATACTTATTTAACAAGTGCTGACTCATTTGTCTTATAACCTCAGCTACCTGGAATAAAGCCAGTAACAAATAATAAACAAAAATAATTATTAGAAGGCCCATGCACAGAAGTATAATTCATTACTCAAAGATAAGCCTCACGATTCATTGTTGCTTTGATCTGTCTTAGATAAGACATTAGAATGAATAAATGAGGAGATCAACAGATGCAGGCCTATTAACAACACAAGATCCTATAAAAACATTTTTCTTTTTTGTGGGCATGTAGTTGTTCATCTTCTGGTTTCATACACTAATCTGAAATTTTAAAAAGTAAAATGAATAAATTTAACAATAATGGGTGGGGGAATATCTAGAAGGTCACTCTCTCCCTGTCCCTTCTCCCTGTCCTTTGGCCCTTGTCTCTTCTTCCTGTTCCTTCTGCCTGGCCCTTTCTCCCTTGTCCCTTCTACCTTGAAGAACTTTCTTAATTTAAAAGTAAGAATTCATAGATAAAATATACTTTGGAAACCATAAAATGCAATTAACAAATTATATACATTAGTTATTTTCTGTCATTTATGTTTTGCTTTTTTTTTCCTAAAGGCAGTAGATATAACTTCTTGTGGAAACTTTGCTGTGATTGGCCTCTCATCAGGAACTGTAGATGTATATAACATGCAGTCTGGTATACATCGAGGACGTTTTGGCAAAGATCAAGGTATTGATCTTTTTTTCCTTTTCTTCTTTATTTTTTTAAGGTAATATGTAAGGCTAATAATGATAGCTAGCATTTATTGAATCTTTTTTTTTTTTACATATACATGTGTTTATTAGGTTTCCACTTTTTGCCTTCACAAAATGAAACAGGTAACAATAACAACGTTTAAGATAAGGACTAGAAATAAAAACCTCGTAAAGAACGAACAAAGACAAATACATTCAGAAAAGAAATCAGACGATTGCTGCATCAAAATATTAAGCAATAATAATAATGCAAAGAGGGTAACATGCAATTGTCAAATAAGAGTATGTCTAGTATAGAATGCTTTGATTCTGAGGTTCAGTATGGACTGAGTCATCAGCTAACTTCTTTTTTTTTCCCAAAGACTCAAAAAATAGACAACTAATATTTATAAATAAAAGTAAAAGATAATTTCAAAGAACGGATCATGCCAAATCTTATAGACGATAGAAAAAGAAGAAATACTTTGCATTTATTAAATCTTTAAGTGCTAGGCATTTGTTAATGTTTTAATGGGTTATCATCAACTCTATACAATAGATACGGCCATTCTGTCTGTTGGTATCATGTTGAAATACTCAAGAGAATCAAGTCATGGATACCTAAGGTTAAGTGGATATTATGTAAAAATTGTTTTCTTCTCCCCTTTAAGCAGAAAATCCTAACTATTTTTTGAAACCTTCAGGCGTTGATCTGATCTCTGAGTTTTGCTTTTGCAACATAATAATTAAAGGTCTTCTCCCAGCCTTCCAAAGTCCAGATTAACTTCAAGGTTCTAGGAGATTAAGTAGTGGGACTTTAGATACTTGAGTGAAGGGATCACTCTTTGTGTATTGTTTAGAGAAGCAGTGCCCATCGTGATCTTTTTTTTCTTTTGACTTATTTTGAAGCTCATAAAGGATCGGTTAGAGGTGTTGCAGTAGATGGATTAAACCAGTTGACAATTACAACTGGTAGTGAAGGATTACTCAAATTTTGGAACTTTAAAAGCAAAATTTTAATACACTCTTTGAACCTCAGTTCATCTCCAAATATGATGCTGCTACATAGGGACAGGTAAACTGTTTCTTTTAATGATAATGGGTTTTCTTTTTGGTGTTTTTGGTAAAAGTTCTTATGGAAAGTACATAATTTACCAAGTCAGAAAAATCGGACTGTTGGAAGAACAGCATTTGGCTTAATTTTTCCAAAGGTATATGTAATTAACAAAATTAAAGTGAATGTGAGATACTAGTTCAAAGGTGTTTTGTTTGTTTATTAATACTGGTGTGTTTATCTTGCTAGTGGCCTTCTGGGACTTGCGTTAGATGACTTCTCCATTAATGTTTTGGACATAGAAACTAGGAAGATTGTCAGAGAGTTTTCTGGACACCAAGGCCAAATAAATGACATGGTAAAACAAACTCTAGGTGTTTTAACAAAACTTGACTCATTTCTACTGTTTAGATTAAAAATGTTCAAATAATTGAGTCATTTATTTTTTTTAATATCCTTAAAGTTATTATATAAGGAGATTTTCAAAAGAAATAATAACTTAAAGGCTTGTTTTCAAAGAGGAATAAAATTTTGAATTAAAAGAAGTTTAAGGGTAGTGCCTATGGCTCAAAGGAGTAGGGCACCAGCCCCATATACCGGAGGTGGTGGGTTCAAACCCGGCCCCAGCCAAAAACTGCAAAAAAAAAAAAAAAAAAAAAAAGAAGTTTAATATTTCTCAGGAAGTTGCTATTGTCAGACTGAACTATAAATCCTAGAGTTCATCATTTTCTCTTTAACTCTAAAAAAGGGCAACGTACTTTGGAGAATAATCTGTTGATATATCATTTTTGACTTGATATTCAAGGAGACTAAAAGAACGCATTTCTTTTTTCTGTATATAGAACAAATAGTAGGAGATCATTTGCCTAAAATATCTGGTATCTTGTTTTTTCTAGTTTAGTTTTATTTCTAGAGTGACTATATCTTAACCTTCAGAGAGTTTAATAAAAATGTGTTTGATTTTACTTATGTTCTTGTAGTGGGATATATGTTATGGTAAGAAGTAAACTAGTTTAAAAAGCTTATTTTATAAAAGAAAACTTTTTTTTTTTTTTGGCCGGGGCTGGGTTCGAACCCACCACCTCCAGCATATGGGGCCGGCACCCTACCCTTTTGAGCCACAGGCACCACCCCTATAAAAGAAAACTTTTAAAATAAATCTGTCCAAGACCACATTAAGGGTATATTGTCATTTTGCATCAGTTGCCAATACCTACTTGAAAACAGACAAAAATAAAATAAAACCTAAATACTTGATGACAGATTCAGCAGCTACATTAACTTACCAATTCTCATACCAAAAGCAAAGTTTGCAGTGCTTATCCTTTTCCTAAAAAATAGGAGAAAAATGTTCGTAGTAGATTGTTAGATAGGAAGTTAGCAAAATTACACATCTACAGAATGTTTTGATAGCATCTGTAGAAATGATGGTAGGAGTATGGTAATTTTGGTGAAATGGCATTTTTGAAAACATTTGTCAGTGTCAATTTGTTCCTCCTATTTCTTTCCTTTTCTCAACTTGTGTGTCTAGAATTTCTCTGGCTTGGTAATAAGTTACTGTTACTTAATTAAATCTATCTACGTCTCTCTCTACATATACACACGCAAACACAAAATAGGACCTTACCTCTCATTCTTTCCCATCTTTTGCTTTGTCACACGCAGTTAAGTTTGTTTTTGTTTTCTTTTTTTTAATTTAAAGGCTTTTAGTCCAGATGGTCGTTGGTTAATAAGTGCTGCAATGGACTGTTCTATCAGGACTTGGGACCTTCCATCTGGGTGGTGAGTTTATTTTTGAATCCCTATTCTCTATCAGAAGATTTCTTAGTTATTGTCTTAACATGTGATTTTTACTTACTGTTAAGGGATTATGTGGGGTTTTTTCAATGTGCCTATATTGGAGCTTTTCTAACAAACTGTACTTATTTCTCCATGGAAAATAAATAAATTGATCTATAAAGAGCAGAGAATAGTACATATCATGAAAGGCGATAGTGAGAAAAACACTGTATCTATCTTAGGTTTTTTTTTAAGTTCATATTGAATTTGGCTTAAAGGTCAAAAGCCCTAACTCTCCCTTTTGCATATTGTGTCTTCTTTGTCTCTAACATAATTCTGGAAGAAGGCATTTTAGATAGTCTGTTTTCTGTTGCTTTATAATAAATTTATAAAGAAAATAAATTTATTTCTTACAGTTATGGAGGTTAAGAGTTCCCAGGTCAAGAGGCTACATATGCTGAGAGCCTTCTTGCTGGTAAAGACTCTGAGGAGTCTGCAGGGTGTCACTTGGTGAGAGAGCTCAACCTACTACTTCAGGTCTCCCTTCCTTGTCCTTCAAAGCCGACCAGATGGCCCATGAATCAGAGATATCTGCGGCTTGGCTAATACAGGGTGGCTAAGACAGATCCTTAGCTCTGCTTTTACTCTCATGCCTCACTAAAAACCCTGTCTTCTCAATACTGCAACAATGGGGATTAACTTTCCACGTGAGTTTTAGGAGGGACCTTCAGACCATAACAGATACCTTAAAGTTTTCAGATACCTGAAAGTACGTGTTTTAGGATTTGGGTAAAACCCAGCACTGTTAGAAATCTGGTTCATGGATTGATAATTTGCTACTAATCTTGAACTTACACAGGGAAGGATCCAATTCTGTTAAATCATATGAGCAAGGGGGGCCTGTATGTGTATGTGCTTTGTTAGAAAATAGGTGATTGTAGATATCAATTAAAATCTTATTATTAGACATAGAATTGCCTGGATTGAATATGCAAAAAGGAGAATGATGGGAATAACAAACTATCTAATTCGTTAAGGATTACACCATAAGGAAGGAGATAGGTGAGAAAAATGAGAAGGAAGATGATAGGTTTTATTCCTGAAGTATTCCTAAGTCAAGCTTTAATTCTGCTTTCTCTTCCTACTCAAGAATTGGATAAGTTCATGCATGAAAACAGTTTGACCTTTAGAGAGGAAAAACCCTGATGTCCTCATTTCCTTTCTAGTTTGATCTTTGCCTGAGGCATAGCTGCCTCTTCATCATGTCCTTGAAATTTGAATAGGCAGAGCTGAAGAATGTCACTAGCAGTTTTAGCTCTAATAACTAGGGACTTTTGTTTGTCTAGGTGTGTCTCTTTTTTACTTTACATAGAGTAAAGCAAAATCTAATCAGTTGGATGTGACCTCCTTTTTGGTTTTAAAAAGTTCATCTAAAGTTGATATTTCCTTAAAAATTTTGTTAAAGACAGTATTAAAAATCTTAGTTGTCTCTTATTTCTTGGTCTTTTACTGCTTTCTAAAAATGAACATTATATACTTTGAATTGCTTAAAGAAAGTTGTACAAGTAACAGTTTTAGTTCATATTAGGTGGGAGAGAGTTAATGTTCAGTAATACTAAATTGGCAGAATATTTTTTTTAAGTGGCAAGTTTATCTTTGGAATGGGAAGAATGAGGATCTGAAAGCAGCATTGAAAGCCACCAACTTTCAACTCAGCATTAGCTTTCTGCTGAATTTCTCATTTCAGTAAAAAGTTGAACAGATGTAAATCTGATAGATTTTTAGGTCTATCAATTTATGTTTAGGTAAACACAGGCTATTGTAAGTGAATAGGGAAGCATGAAGCTGGGTCCCACGGAAGAGCTGAAGGCAAGAAAGTGAGACATGGTTAACTGTTCTGGTTAAAATTTGAAGCAGAGCAAGTGAGAAAGTTGGAAAGCAATTTCAAGCAACTGCTGCCACTTAACTGCAACTAAGCTAATGTTTACTACCTGCAGCTAGGCCCTTCATAAGTATTTTTCATATTCTTATAGGTGTAAGTACCATCACTGTTACTAGTCCCATTTCACAAATGGGGAAATGGAGGTTCTTAGAGAAGCTACTTGATTTGTCCAACATGGCTTACTTTGTATATGGTAGAGCATAAAATAAGCATAAGAAAAAGAAACAGGCTTCCCTAAGTTGTAATGTCAGCCCTGCTCAGGTTGTGTCATGTCTTAAGGATGGACTGAGTTTTTTGATATAGAAGATAAGTAATAAGGAAGTGATGCCTATCTAAAACAAACCGCATAGGGACTGAACTGTTTCCCTATAAAGCTGTTTAAAAGTGCTGAAAAATGTTTTGTTTGTAGAACTCCCAGAGAAGCAGAGTTGACACTTTCTTATTCCTGACATGTCATTCCTCTACCATGACCACCACCTGTTACTTCTGATTGTGTTTGATCTAACGGAAGTTCAGGTTCAACTCTTTGGGGGTGAGAAATGTGTAAAATAGTTCTAATAAAATTTTGCATTTTCTTCTGTCTCCCCCTACCCCCACTTTCTGAAGCACATTATATGAGAAGAATTGGAATAGAACATTGTTTTGGATTTCTCACTGAGGCAAAACCCTGCCTTTGTTTTACTTCATTTTGATTTCTGTGCACCTCACTTAAGTGTTGCCCATATAGGAAGGTGCTGATCTTGTAAATCTCATCCCTTAGAATGGGAATTCTGTTAGTGTTCTTTCAGAAAAAAACTGTAAATACAATTTTACAGTTATATTAGAATTAGCAGGTATATGGTATTTTTGAGTCTGGGTGTTAGCCTATGTGCTATGCTTTGCGAATTTATGTGGCCGTTTAAAATATGCTGTGTCTGTGGAAATCACCTTGGTCAGTGTGGTGGTTTCATGTAATGGAAGGCCAGTCTACCCACACATCACAGCTGCAGATACAGAGTTGCATAATGAAATTAACAAAATAATTATAGTATCAAGTAAGCAGGTTTGCAGAAGCGGTAGATTCTCTTAACAGACAGATTCTACATGTTAGGAAGTTTAACCCCTCACATGCGTAAACGTTAGTGAACAGTACTGGTAAAGACAAAGGAGGAGGTACAAAGATCTAAGTGCTGTGTTTAATCCTCTGTATACATTGGGATAAAACCTTCTGCTATGGGTTGTTTGGATTAAGTGTATTAACATAAATAAGTTAATCTATGGCAAATAATAGATATTTTGCATTTGTTTCCTTGATTCCCCAGAAGAGCCAGTCTTACAAGCTCCCCAAAAAGCAGACTTTAGCAAAAATTGTCAGGGTATTCTCTATAACTGAGAATTCAACAGCAGCCATTTTCCTGAACACACTTTGGTGTGTGTTTGTTTCTAGTGCTTCTAGTTGTCATCTTTGCATTTATTATTTAAGTTTCATGTTTTTAATGGCTTTCACCAAATTGAGAAAAAGATTTTACCATGGGCAAGTCACTTAATTTCACCACTGGAGAGTCCTCATTTTGAGATGCTCAGAGTATGTTCCATGAATCACTGGTATAGGCATACCCTGGGTACATGTGTGTGTCACACTGTGATAGTGTATACAAATCGTAGTCCTTGTGTTTTTGTTTTTGTTTTTGCAGTTTTTGGCTGGGGCTGGGTTTGAACCGCCACCTTTGGCATATTGGACCGGTGCCTTACTCCTTTGAGCCGCAGGCAGCGCCCCCTTGTGATTTTTTTTAACACTAAAATTTTCTATATCTTTTACCCCTTGCTTTTTTAGCAACAATGTTTTTTGTGAATTATATCCTTTTTGGTAGAGTTCTAATATTTAACATCTGAATTCTTTTTCTAGTCTGATAGACTGCTTTTTGTTGGACTCAGCTCCTCTCAATGTTACTATGTCACCTACTGGAGACTTTCTGGCAACTTCCCATGTGGACCACCTTGGAATTTATCTATGGTAAGTCCTTTCATACAGTTATTCTGGGATGAAATAGAGGGAGATGATACTATTGATACCAGACAGGTGGCATCCCAGCCAGCTCAGCTGAGTGGGGCTGGAGGACCTGCCCTCCGTTGTGGCAGTGTTGGTGGCGGCAGCCAGCAGAGGAACCAGCAGGCTGGAACGTAGGCAAGCAGGGGACCTTCTCTATATTTTACTGCAGTTACCTGAGATTCCCAATTTTTATTTTCCATTCTAGATTCATGTTTGGGAAAAAGAATTTGTCCTCTACATTGGGGAAGTTGTCTACATCTGGATTAGTCATTCATGACTAGAGTGCAGGCTCAAGTAGCAAAAACATGACCACTTGGGCAGCCATTCTAGAGAAGGGACATCCATGACCTTTGAGCAGCTCTGAGAATATGAGCCATATATTCACTCTGTCTTACTCTCTGAGCCCATCATTACTTTTTTAATAATTTCTTTAAATAAAGGTCAATGTTTGTCTGAAAGTGTCCCACGAAACCCCGTGTTCAGAGATGCAGAGGAAAGTACTGCTAGACAAAATGATTGGAATGAAAAGGGGGGCTAAGGCTCTGTCAGTCACACAGCTGACACCCATGTTTATTGAGCTCCTTATAAACTTATCTTAGTAAAGGTTAAAAATAGCAAAAAGAGGCTTGGCACCTGTAGCTCAAGTGGCTAAAGTGCCAGCCACATACACCTAAGGTGGCGGGTTCGAATTCAGCCAGGGCCCGCCAAACAACAATGACGGCTGCAACCAAAAAATAGCCGGGTGTTGTGGTGGGTGCCTGTGGTCCCAGCTACTTGGGAGGCTGAGGTAGGAGACTCGCTTGAGCCCAGGAGTTGGAGGTTGCTGTGAGCTGTGATGCCATGGCATTCTACCCAGGGGGACAG